CGACAGAGTTTGGTCAACGTTTCTAGTTCTGGTGACGGTTAGCGCACATGCGCCCACACTGTAGCCAAGGGGAAAGCAACCTTCGACTCTCACGTCCGTAACAAGTGGGTACATTCCCGACGGGATTAGGGTGTCCCAGACCAGTATTATACCTCTATGACACGCCACCTATGCACGTGGTCCTGGTACCCCTACCCATGGTGCCCTGTGAGACCACTTCCTGCTGCAGACTGCTTTTGGGGAACTGGAGGAGGCCCTCTAGTGTTCGTCTAAGTGCAGCTACCCACCCGAACTACTTACGTGAGAGACAGTATCAAAATCAACACGGTCAGTGATGCTCAACGGACGGTCGTGTCTGTGAGCATTCCAATGACGACTAAGCAACTGTCGGCCACCCAGTCAACGAAATCGGGCCGAAACCTTGAAGGTAGTGTGGCGACAGACACCGCCGAACACCATAAAAAGTGGGCAGAAGCAGGAACGGAGGCTCGAACTGTGCATAGAAGCTCACCTGGTACGCTGATAACATGGAGGATATCTATCAGTCAAACTCTGCCACCTTATTCAGCGCTGCTGTGCGCAGCACCAGTCTTCCTGGGAGGAGAGCACCGTTCGGCGGACAGCATTGGAAGACAGTGTGCTGTGCATTCAGAGTGGGTGACCCAAAGCTGAAACTGTGATGGCTCTACGAAGGCAACCGTTCATCGACAGAAAAGCCTTCGCCAGTGAGTTTAACCACGAGCTTGTCAAGCAACGCCTTAAGATTCCTCCTGTTTTGACAAACGCTGGTCACCAGCCGGTCATCCGGCATAAGGGCCAGGCTGGGGCAGCCGAGGTTGGTGAGGAGAGAAGTCTGGGAGGTGCCCAGCATGTGCAGCGCGATGCAAGGCCATGGTCATCCACGGAACTGCTAGCCACGACGTCAGGAGGAAGCATACAGATGGCATTCAACAGGGGTAATGATTATCAGATGGGATAGGTGTCGGATGGAATATCAGTATTGACAATCAGTAGGATTCCATATCCCACTGGTCTAACAACAGTGGTGTCGCCCACATTGATGAGTATGAAATTAGGATACCCAGGGCATTTTGCTAGAGTACTGCCGACACGGTCCACACTTGGGGATACCATCGTCTGGACTGTTCGCTACTGTGAAAACAAATCTAGGGTACCGCAGCGGCAGCAAACGACAGTTCCTCTTCGTGCCTAGGCCACCATCACTTCGCACAGTTGCAACGAGATCTGGACTGATAAACCCAACCTAATAATGACTGGGGAAACCATTCTGGAGAAGGCTGCTTGCGGTGGAACGGGCCGGGTGGAATCAACTTCCACCACTACACGCAGCCATTTACCATCAGCCGCAACTAACGCTTCCCATGTTGTGAGGAGCACATCCAAGAGTCTATGAGGATTTCAGAAGATTTAGAGGCGAGATGATGCAGTCGAGATCCCTCTACTCCTGCCTTGCGCCGGAATTGTAATCCTGGTAGAAACTTCGTGATCATCGGACGCCACTGGAATCGAGGCGAACATATACGGTAAGTTTGTGCTCAGGCAAGACAAGGAAAGTAAGTGAGAGGGTGGGATGGTGGTGTTTGCGTGATCGGTTCAAAAGGGAACGAGCCACTGGCAGTGCACCGACACAGCCCACAGGCTTCGTCTGATGTCACTTTGTCGCCGGACATGCCAAGTATCTGACGATGAGATCTGTAGACCGTTTACTAGTTAACCGACTGAGCCGACTACTCCAAGTAATGTACACGGTGACAACTATGAGGTATGACCGGCCCTTCGCAGGTGGGGACTTCAATGTTCTGACCCTCGCTGCACGGTAAAACAGTGTAGCTCCAAGCCAGGCACCTGACCGAGGCCCACTACCGTGTGAAAAAGTTGATGACAACTGCTGGAACTTGAGCTTACTCTAAACTACCGACCATCTGTGATCACAAAATCTTCCGGCTTGGACCGCTCTTAGCAGGATTGACGACATCATGGTTGTATTCCATCTGATAATCAAGGAACAACCATCACGGAAGGGATTTTGGACTTGCTTCTGCTACGGCAAGGCCAATGAAATAGCGCTGGACCAGCCCCGTTGACAGCTTCATCGCTGCGCGAGTGGGGTTTTCTGCCGAGTGACAACCACTGAGAATTGGAAATTGGCACCATTTTGAGCGTGATCTCTGAAAATGTCCCTGTGGTGGCAATAAAATTTTGAAAATGACCTCGTGGCTGAAACGAGCCACTGAGCACCTCTTGAAAACCAGGGGGAGCGTGATTTAAGTAGGGGCTGTTCAGAAGAGAGGCAAATCACGATGTATGGATGGCTTTAAGGAGTGGATGCAGCATCGGGACGTGGGGGATACGAGGTCGTCTCACGCGAACACCCCCAGAAACCTGAGACTGGCCCTAAGAGCCCGAATCAATCCTTTGTAGAAGCAAAATCAACCATCCGGGATGCATGCGTTATGAAAGGCCCAAACGGAGTAAGCTTTTCTGGGCCGTAGATTGACAAAACTTTTAGCGCCGCCTTTGGCACAAAAATAAACATCCCATCACCCAATCAAAATTAACGACGGCTGTACCAGATATTCGAAATGCAAAGAACTGCCTGGGGAACCTTCGACATTATCCTATGTGGGTCACTTACGTAGAATACAAGTGATCCTTGCTCCAGTCTCCTGAAAATTATCAAAGCACTGCGCTGGAAAATCCCCAGATTGCTACATTTGTCCGTTTCTGCCAGGACAATGTACGAGCAGCCTGCATGCTTCTTTCTGTAACCTAGTTCAGCGCGCCGTAGACCAACACAGGCTCCCAAGGGGGTGAAATGTGTTGATCTTCCGTAGAGGAGACAGGCAAAATATAAGGCACTATCAATCTACAGCACTTCCATGAGCACCACTGAAAGTAATGGACAGCTTGGTAGACGTATATCAGAGAATGCCTGGACAAAAAGGAAGCACTACGCCATACTCAGCAGGGTTTCCGGAAGGGTAGGTCCTGCGTCCCAAACCCCCGTGAAAACTAGACGCTATGTTGAGACCTCCAGATTCTTGTGCATAGAATTCCCTTTCGTATTGCCAAGGCCTCTGATACACTCTCAAATGTCATGCTTATAGGCAAAATGGAAAGGCTGGGTAGAAGCGGTCAGGTGACATCCTGGATTGAGAAGTATTTCGATATGGGAAGTTCTGTACAAAAGTTAACAAAGTTTGCTTAAATTAGGGGGCTTCATCCTCAGATGAATTACAAGGATTGATTCCGAAACCGTCGCTGTCCGCACTTTGGTGGATGAACTTCTGCCGGATTCTACTTTGAGCCAATGACGCCGGGATATGCAGACCTGTGACATACGAAAAGAGTGCACTGCACCGCAAGGTGACCCCAGACCGCTCGAAGACTGGGGGGAAAATAACAAGTTTGCACTTGACCTGGATTAGTGCCAGACCCCGGTTTTCCCGACTCCTGATTCTCGGAAAGCATCCGACTCTCATAATAGTACTCACCTTTCTCACACAACTATCGAAGACTGTTCTCGGACTAATACTGACAGATAGGACAGGAGCTAGTTCAAGCTATCCAGAAGGCTCCTCCAGAGCCTACGCAGTACTACACTTCATGCACAAACAAGTAGACACCTTCACTCTGGAACTCTTTCTGAAGCTCTGTAAGACCTTTTACGACCTCACTGGAGGTTAGCAACGCCATTGCACCGTCATGCCTGAAATGAGATGCGGACTTCCTGGCCGAGTTCCAGAGGACAGAAACGAATGCCTATGTAAGAATGCGACAAAAGCCACGCAATTAAAAGATAAAAGATACATGCCGTTACCTTTTTAGTTACCAAGGGTTACGTGGCAACCTGTTAATAGCCTACATGATACTACTTAATCCAAGTCTCAATCAAACAGTGAAGATGTACCTCTAGGTTACTGTGGTTATCCCTATGAAAACCTAGATCACGGCCCATCAAAGAGCGGGAACGTCTGCGCGTTCACACATTTTCACCCCTGAGTTCGCCACCACTTGAACACACTGCCTACCGAGACTGTTACCTGTCGGTCTGTCAATAGCTTCAAGCGAAAACTGGATAGCGTCACTGTGACATGTGGTTCATGCCCGTCTGGCTGAAATGTCGACTAGGAGGATAAAATCAACGAAGTTCACAGAACTGCAGTTTAGTCAACTTCATACCGTCCCTTTTGTACTGTTTATATCATCGAGAACTTGATTCAATCGTGTACTTCCCTGTTAGAAGTTTCATCTCCAGTTACTTTACCTTCACTACTATCACCACTGTTTCTGTTTCGGTCAGCCCCGTTCTAACCTTACCCGCTTCCGTTCACCCCGGCTGACTCTCAATGACTTCATCCCATTTATTACAGTTTCTCCCATCAACGTTTTCTTTCCTGTCCTTCTATCACCTGTCGACTTGCTTTTTCTCACCTCATCTCCATCGTTCTCGCTGGACATCTTTTCGTCCCTCTCCTCTGCTTTTTACAACCAGTTCCAACAGCTTTCTGACGACACAACGTTTGGTGAGCCCATATGCACCATAAACCAGATGCACACCTACAAATTTCATCAGCATCCAGCCACTCAAACTTCAAACTTCGTGTTGTAGAATTAGTGAACGGCGGTTCCTTGGGTTCTACGTCTGTCTTATTGGAGTACGTGCTCAGATATACCGAATGGCAAATCCGCTGCACTGGAATTGACCAAAAACCTGGAACCATTCAGCAAGACCAAGAAAAGAAAGAGAAAAAAGTAATTGGTTCATACAAGCGCATATCAAGACATAATGATATTGGTTGCTGGATGAAGGATGACAGTAAGCCATTAAGCAGATATGTGTTCCAAAAATCACTTCAATGAGACATTTATTTCCTAACAATAACTAGATCTGAAAACAAGTTTCGAAGTATCAATGAACTCTATATTTTTAATCAATCAACGGTTTAGGTTGCTCTAAGGCGAATATTTGTCATACCTTCAAAATCACATGAATATTCTGTGTTTTTGCTGTAGATCATACCACTCGAAGTTAGGAAGTATTTCGAAAGTCACCGCTAAAAATGGAAGCACTGAGGCTTATTTTAGGTACTGCACAGCGTCAAATTTGATGTTAATTCTTTGGTTTTCTAAGGGGTGTAAATTCTGAGCTAGACCCTAAACATTTCATAATCGTTGACAAAAACAGTGGAATATTTGGCAGAATTCCGGGGGAAATAAATGGACAGCAGTTTGTGATACAGAACTGCAAGGCAAGTTACTTATATTGACAAAAATATTTGGCAGAACTCTTACATATATCTCTTAGACCATTCAATTGCAATAACTGTCGATGACTGTTCAAGCTGTACAATCGTAACAGGACCTGTCAAAACCAGGTAAATTCTTAGTTTCTTTTACTGCGTAGTTTCTTCATCAGGGATTGCCGGCAGTGTACTGTGGTGACGGCTTGCCAACAGTTCCGGTCGAGAGACTGTCATGAAATAGTTGTTTTCCTGGCATGCACCACAGAACCTATTATCGAGTCCTGTACAGATTTCACCTTCGGACCTTACCAGTGCAGCTATCCAGGTTTGGAAGGTAAAAATTAATGCTGAAACATAACCCTGTTTGCAAACAATTGTGCTTTTCTCTTTCTACACTTAATCCGTTCACAAATATACTAGTTAGCTATTTTTATTCATAATGCAGAAGATGTCTTCACAAATCACCTCCCAGTGATATCACTGCAAGTCGTTTGAAATTTCGGCTCAAGACAAATATCTTGGTGAGAGAAACTGCTGCAAATTTCCAAAGTAATTGGAGATATTTCTAAAATATGCACCATTAACTTTCGTTCTTCCGTGAATCATAAGTAACGGCACTTAGCTGTCAAATGCACTTCATGGATTTTACCTACTAACCTGCCGGATTATTTTCTAGCTTTGAGAACATGGTGGTATATTTATTTTGACAGTAAAATAACCTCTTATTCTAAAGTGAATTACGATTGGTATTCGAATTAATATGTCTTGTGTGGCCTTAATTAACATAATTAACACGCAGTTTTAGATAAGAGGAAGCATATTTTTAACGCCATTAAGTGAAAAAGTGGTAAAGTGTATAGAAAGTATTGTGTAATAATACCACCACAAACGAGTTTTCGATAGTTGAAATAAGGATGTATTGTGACTAGTCATGTTAGGTTTTTCACCTCAAATCTTATAATTGTATGAAATTAGTATGACTTACACAGTGAATGTTATTTTATTCTGGAAATAGCACTTAATATCTTTGAGTTTCGCTACAAAATGACCAGTTTTATAACTGAAGTAGATAATTGGAGGGGTTTTCTTTAGTTCCTTGCAAGTGATTGGTGATACAAGTTCCATATCAGGATATTTTAGGTAGGCTGGTTATGTTACTGCTTTATAATGCCTAGCCAACCTTACTTAAATCTATGTGCTCTAGTACCCGCTTAATCAGTACCTTACCTAACGTGTAAGTACTAATAACGAAGCATAAATCAAAACGACTGGTATTCAGGAATATATTCGAAGGGGCAGTATATTTAGATAAAATAAGAGTGATAGCGATTATCGCGGGAAGAGTTTATCCAAATTATCAAGCTAATGTGTCTGAGCTGGAGGCTATGAGGACGTTAGTGTTAACCAGCACGCGGGAAGCGCAAAATGATGTCGAAACCTGCGTGGGTGCATCCTCGTCAAAAAAAAACTTAAACCACCTTATGTATTCGAAGGCAAGCTGGAAGTTTGTTCAGTTAATTCAGTTTAATCCGTTTATTTCAGCCCTAGTGCCGGAAAGGTGCTTTACAACAGTACGACTAATTCTACATATCTTCTACCTCTGGCTACCTGGTTTTCGATCTCGCCAAAACACATCTCAGTTTAAGATGACTAGGCTTAAGTGACCAATAGAGATAGCACATCAGCTTATGTTACAGAGTATCACTATTTCAAGTTTTGCTTCAAGCAGGTGGTTTGGACTTTGTGGTTTACTGCACAACATAGACATGTTAGTCGGTATGTTATAAGCTTAAATTACTACTTGTATTGATAAACAGCCTAGGGCAATTCAGTCACTTTGCCGAGCAACAATTAGAATTCCACTTGGTATTCTTATCATAACTCTACTAGCCTGTCCCATCAATTCCGATTAATGTTTTAGAAATGACTTCACTTGTTGAAAACCACTATCCTCTCATATTATATGACTGAAGGGGAAATGAACTTGTAAATCACTGACTCTTTTCCTCCGAGAATCGATAAATGCGAAGTCACACTAAAATTGCAAGAACATTTAGCTGCGGTTGCAGTTTGAATTTCCTCACGATCAAGGAGTTTGACATTTAAAGACAGTCAGTTTCTTAATCTTACCCTTTGCTGGACAGAAGCCAGCCAGCCACATTGATTTTAAGATATTGTGGGTAATATTTGCACCTTCTTGTCGACTAGACGTTTATGTCTGCCCAAGCTAGTGCTTTTCTTAGTTTCAGTGTTATGCACACTAAACCATATCCCCCATGGTGATCGGTAATACCTTTCCCAGTATATCACACTAACTTTCGCGGGGGCATCGATGCAGCTTTTAAAGCAAATTTCAGTAAGAGATTTGCACCAAGGCTCCAAGTCCAACAAAATCACACCAAACCAATCTTTGTGATTGGTTGCACGATGGAAAGGAAAACATTTCTCGCAACTGCATACTAGTTATCATTTCAAAAGGCAATTTTCCATGGAGGCATTTAAAGTGCTGAACTGTTACACAAACGAACAAATTGAAGTATAACCTTTAGCATAAGCGTACCACTTAAATTTGCCACGCCTTACAGCAATACAATAAGAATAAGTGAAAAGAAAAGGGCTAATATCGAAGTAAAAACAAGTGTATTGGAGGAAACGGAAAAATGAAGGTGACTATAAGTGCTCAAAGTTTTGAGTATGTCAAGGCACAAATATATCCTTACCATTTCGATTGATTTTTGGTTATGTCAATAAAATTCTGAGTAATACTGACTTTTTTCATTATGAGGACCCTTGCCTTTTAGCCTATACCTCTCTACTTAGCTCAGAAAAAGAATAGAAAACTTCTCAGTTTGGTGTTATATCTTGGTTTGTCTACCTTTAGCTTTTACACACTATACTCTTGCTTCAGATAGCAGTTAACATCGGTGTAAGTGATGAGTTAACATATACTAAAATTTTCCAACCCACGTCATATTTTGCAAGTTTACTGGCTAATCTATGGATATAATCCTATCTTCCCCAATGTTTTGTCTTACATAAGTCCAGTTTTCAACTTTAACAACCAAAAAGACAAGCTGACTCCAAAGTCTTCTTACATAGGATTAATCCTTTGTTTGTCATTTGGTTTCTAAACAGCACCTGGTAGGTACATGTAAAGTCAGCTAGGGTTTGAAAGTAGTTATGCCTCTAAAGCTTCATTGGACTTCATCAACCACCACGAACCCATCTATTCATGAACAAGAGATGTTCCCTATTGTGGCTGTCATGTGCTTCGGTGAAACAAAAAAGGAAACACGGTCCCAGTCATAAAGTATAAAACACTGAAAGTGTCGAGCAACCACTAATAACTAATGAAGAGAAAAATTCAAAGCTGGATTCATTGTGTCTCTGAAAAGCTTCAAACTGGACAGCGAATACCTAATCACGGCTGAAAGATTCTCCCTAAAAGAGCATTTTTCATAATAGCCAAGAACAGAATTCTTTTAAACTAGGCTTCATAAGTTTCCTCAACGTTATTTTCCGTTTTTTAATTCAGCTTGAGTACTATCTTTAGAGGTATAAACTGAGATGAAACAGACAGTCAAAACAGCCAATAAGTTTCATAAGTTGTGAATGATTTCTCTACAAGTACCACCTTTGTGGGTCGCAAGACCTACTGAATATATATTTGTAGTTAGTTGGCTGCAAGATATGAAATCAGTTTATAAAGTTTTTGATCACCTATCTGAGTAATGTAACCAAGTATAGGAAGCCCGACTGGTGTCGTTAACACGTTAGAAATTCGTAGTTGATGATTTACAGCGGCATAGGTAAAACAGATATTAATGTTGCAGACGTATTTACTCGGACTTACTTTAAGAATACGGACATTTGACTAACCTTCAAGTGTTTATTCTATCTCTGTTCTCACATTCTTGTTAGTTTCAGTCTTACTTTGTCTCTGTTTATGTCCCATTCTTCTGCTACCCTAAAGTTTGATAGTTTGAGCTGGTTAATTTCTAAAATATAATGAATCGAATAGCCTTCCTATTCGTCTTGAACAGTGTTGGGATGGATAAAACCTTACTTTGATTTGTAAGAGTGTCTTAACCATCGACAAACCTGCCTACTACCTTTCATTAAGTTATTTTACCTTGACCACACGTTTGTATGTAAGGAAAAGTTCTATCCAATCGGCATTTCCAATTGTGAATAAAATTTCATGGTTTGTAAGTAGTGAGTTAGCTGACAGTTTGGTCCACTGGTACTTATTAACTCGAACCCTAAGGTAGTTATTTTCTTATAATTGTGAGTCAATCATATCAGGTCATGTATGAAGGTAGAGAGTTCAACCACCCAAACTAGTTGACAACTGAATGAACTTCTGCTCAAAAGCAAGTTAAACTGACAACAAACTTTCGTTTGTGTTCATTAGAAATTAAATAAGAAAGAGTTCTATAAGTACACAGATGGCCATCACATTACTGTAAACCGGATTTAGAACTCAAGGTCTCCACACTTTGATTGAGCTTAGATTCTTAAAATGAAGTTAGGTATAATATTCCTCACAATATACTTTCTAACCTTTTTATTTTCTTGATGAAAGTATATTTTAGACTCTGGAATGTTTTCACTCAGATTTCATATAATATTCATGCGCTTTTCAGTTTTTATATAACCTTTAAAAGAGTGAATTTATTTCGATACTTTAGGCATAGAGTGTCCATATACAGGTTGATATGTGAAAAATTTAGAAGGCAGGTGCAGATATTAATAAAAGATAGCAGCTATTAGTGGAATCCAAGACGCGCGTTTCGTTCTTTTGAGGAATCATAATCTAGATGTGCCTGCCTTCCAGTGATCAAACTTGGTCCAGTCAGCGACAGGATAATAAAAGTAACTACAATAAAACTATGTCTATCTTGACTTGGTGGTCTTGGGAATAACGCTCTGGCTGGTACGTCCAGCTGATGAGTCTCAAATTGGGGGAAATGCGCATCCTGGATTCCACTGTTGGCCACTATCCATCACTATTATGAAATCAAAATACAGGTAATGTCGAGGCATCCACGCAGAAGCCCATATACCAAAAGAAACTGACCGAATTCAGTCCAGTCAACTAAGGGATAATAAAAGTAACGACAATAGGTGAAGTTACTTTGAAAATTGTAGCATCCTGTTTCTTAGGGTAGCTTTTTCGTCTGCAGCGGTTTCATCAACATTTTGTATCGATATAAAACACCTTTCATTAGTCACTCGCATCAAACTGGAAAGGAACAAAATTTTAACCCCACCCTCAAAGTATAGACATATTTGTTGATTGATACTTGTAATTTCCCGTTGCAACAAGCCTTC